GGCGCGAGCCGTGAGGGGGGGTTTTGAACACGGCCTTTTTACGCCAAATGGCAGCGTTGACGGTGATCGCGGAGTTGTTAGCGCCAGATGCTGCGGCCCCTCGGATTCCACAGAGGAACCAAAGGCCGATTATCAATGATTTGTCTCCACGGCTTATAAATTGCTGTCGTCAGAGCGTGCAATCTTACTGCCTCGGCCAACGGCCGCCAAAGCTCCTGCACAGCGCGTCATTGCAACGTAAATATTCCAATATAGAAGCTTTTCTCTTTTATATCAATTGTAAGAGAATAATTAAAGCTTATCTGCATAGACAAGAAAATTACGTATCCATGAATAGAGGAAGAAAGCACCAAAAATGTGACCAAAACCGTAGAGAATCGACCAACGTTATCGTTCTCTTTAAAATCTGTTAGAGAAAAAAAGAGGGAAAATGCTGGAAAAATTACGGATAATTTGTATAAAATCGCTATTATAAAAGTTGAGTGTTTTTCGCGCCAATGCATACCTATGGAGCGTTGAAGAAGTCTTATTTTTGAAATTTCTGAGGGAGAAGGGGTTTTCAAAATGGGGAGGCCAATTTTAAAAATGAGAAGCGACGACCTTCTTTTTTATTGGCCTCAGGTTCCGTCCCTGAATGTTGTTAACGGAAACTCCTGCAATATTTTGTAGGTGGTTTGCTGGTAGAGCCCGTTGCAATGCATTGATCTTTTCCTGTTTTTCAGTTTCCAGCAGGAATTGTCCCCTATTTGTCTTTTTAACTTTTAAATGCATCCATAGACTGAAACGCGGAACAGAAAGGTAAGCGATGTATCTGAGCCTCCGATGCAAGGAATCAAACGGAACTAAGTGTAAATTAATTAAATAAAAAGGAACTATGTCACAGTAAGAAGAAGTGACCAAAATCTTGTGTTCAGATGGGTAGTAAAACACGAAGTAACACAAGCAATTGGTTGATGTTTTAGGTGTTAGTTTTCCCAAATAGACCGAATCTTCGTGTTGGAAATCTGTGATCTCGTTAAAAATGAGTCACCAGGATCGAATCTTGAAGTACCTTAGCGCTTGCCACACGCAAGTCGCAACCTCCATGTTTGGGGAGACGAACAAAAGCACATAAGTTCCAAATGACGATTTCTTCATAATCCGATGCCGTAGAGTGACCTACGGTTTGGGTCGATTTTACACAAAATTGTACTGAGCAACCAAGTCCTTTGGGTTGATCTTACACAAAAAAGAAACACACAGTAACACCAAACACGAACATTTTTAACTGTGATGCAAAGGATTAGCGTGCCTCTTTGTTTTACTTGATTTTATTCTCTCCGGCCTTGTCTCCACGGGACGTTTCATGGGATTTGCACCAGGGAAAAATCTCACTTGCGAAGTTGGGGAAAATTTTGAGTTAGTCAATTGACTAAGAGTCATTGTGGAGTCCCAGGAACGATTTAAAAAGATATTTTTTTTGTGTTGTTTAATGGGGGAAAAAAGCCCAGAAGTTTCAATCCTTCGATTAGAACTTGGGAAAAATCCCGTGAAACGTCTCGTGGAGCCAAGGCGTGGCACGCGTTTCCTATCAGTTCAAATGCCCACAACTGTCCTTTTCATGGCGGAGTTTTTATGGGGAACTTTGCGGCCTTGTGAGCGGGGTCGCACTACTCGGACTCGCGGGGGCTGATGAATTGAGTCGCTCTCCTCGAGCCCTTGACTGTCCTGTCGTGCTAAGGAAAAACGCCGTATGAACATTCGAACGTTGCCAAACTGCCTCTCGGAAAATATTTATTTTTGAAGAAACTTATGAATATTTTTCATTGAAATTTTCAGACACTTAAGACCAAATTACGAGCAAAATTATCTAAAAAATCGGAAGCATATTACGTATTAATTTTCCCGAAAATTCTTGATTTCTTGGAGGAAACTTGGCAACGTCTGAAGGCTCATACGGCGTTCTTCCTCAACACAGGAGTATCCGAGTCCAGGGTTGGGGCTTGCCGGGTGTCGCGGTCGCATGTCGCCGTGTCCGTCAGCCTCCGCGTGTGGCAGCGACGAGTCGGCCAAGCGTGGCCAATGTCCACATCCTTTTGGGCGGGAGCGTGGACGCTACCTCCTCCTCCTCTGACAAAGTGCTCTGCACCCAGCGCCTTTTCCACTTCCACCCCTTTCCTATTTCCATATTGCCAACCGTTTAATTCTGTCGCTCGAGATGTTACGCCATGTCTTGCCTCCTGCTCCGAACCCACTCTCCGACGCACGGTGGGCGCCATCGCTGAAGCCACTGCGGCCTCACCCTACCCGAGAGAGCAGTATGGCAAGGTACCCACGTAGGGAGAGCATGGAGACGTCGGTAATTTTGAGGTTAGATCGTGGAGCTTGTAGGGCTCAAAAGGGCAGTCAACCTATGAATGTAAATCGTCCAGAGCGGTACACCATCACAAATTTTACGATCCGTCGTTTGTGAAGTACACACGGAGAAAAAAACTTCGTGCATACGACCCGGATTTGAGATCATATGGATTTCTGAAGTTTTCTGATCACGCATCCGAAAACTTGAGATCGAGTTGCCGAGAGTCAGGTCAGACACCGAGGCACTTCGGTATGTACCGGAGTACTTCAGATGTGTGACCCGAACCCTTCGGTATATATCGAAGTACTTCAGATGTCTGACCCGAACTTCGGCAGCTGGACCTCAAGTTTTTAGATGCGTGATCCGAAAACTTCAGAAATCATATACCTCAACTTCGGGTCCCACGCACGAAGTTTTTTTCTCCACGCATATTTGCTCGTTTGTTGCGTAAATCTATTCATTTTTGCGGAAGATAGCTTTTCTATGAACTCTCTTGGCCATCTTGGTTTAATATTGGAATCTAGAGATTGGCAATAATCTTAAGTACTTTTTCAAGTGTATTCTCCGAAGGAAACGCACCTTTTTTTCTGATGAGACGAATCATTTCCCTCCCCCCGTGAAAAATTTCCGTATTTCCTACCGCGGATGAACGTCTGTTTGAGTTGGAAGGGATGGAGACGGAGACGGCGACGGCGTGGAGGACTTACTGAAACCTGACGGTCACTCGACGAGGCCACTCGCTTGGATCAGGTGTGACGACACATAATTTTCATACCCACGGCGCGCGCTACGACTCTTTTTTCAAGCGCCCTTCCCACTGCTCGCCGCTGTGCGCCGCGCCGTCGTGCTCCGGGGCCGGGGCCCATCCCAGGTGAGTCCCACATCCTTCCGATCCAGCGCGACGCCCCGAGTGGGTCCCAAGACCGAGGAGCTGACGGTCCGCCGCCCCCGAGAAAAGCACACTGATCTACTTTTTGCGGCGGCCCCTCCCCTTCCGCCGTGCGCCGGCGCAGTACCTCATCGCGGCTAAATGGGTCGTCAACGGCCGAGCTTTAGGCCACTCCCCTCCTCGCCCACCCACCGCCACCGCCTACGGAAAGCTTCAGAGGTGCCCAGCTTACGCAATACGCTGACGCCGGATGGGCTCCACCGTTAATTATTTGCCGGAGATTTATAGTGTTTCTGCATTAGGTGCCGTGTCGTGCAAATTGAATGTGATCGTCTTGGAAACCATAGCGGAACAGCGCGGCTTTGAGAAAAGTTATGAATTATACGGGCGTGACGCGGTGCCCTTTGCGGTGAATCCAGCGCGAAAAATTCCGTGCATGGAAACCTCCAAGAATACTCATAATGGGTAATGTGGGTATTTCTAATCGAATCATAATGCCCTAAAAGTAAGTAAATGAATAATGGGAAAAAGCAATGAGCAACATTGTGACATTGGTGAATCTAGATACTTCGAATTAGTCATCAACAGCAAGGCCGGATTTAGGGGGCGGCCACATGGGCCGCGGCCCATGGCGGCAAATTTTGCAATTTTTTTAAATGTAGGTATAAAAAAAATCGGATTTAGAAAAAAAAATTACAAACTAGAGAAGGCGACAAAATCTCTCATTTCCTGAGAGTATAATAATTTCTAATTTTGTCGTCTTTCAGAGATACAAGAGACAGCACCTTTAATTATTCAAGTTAAGAGAGAAACCAAATAGTTAAAACACGCAATTTGGCCCGGAACGGCGCGACTCAGAGAGAAATGTTTACGAGGACTTGAGATGAAAAGTAGAAGCCCTCGGCGCGGCGATCGGCGTGTAACACATATTAGCGCCTACAAGACTACACGAATACTTAACGCATTGCATCAAACAGAGTGCGGTCATTGCGGTCAGCGTAAAACGGATAGCGCCTACAAGACTGCGTGAATACTTCACGCATTGCGTCGAACACAGTGCGTTCAGCAGCGGTTCCCATAGAAAATTTTTGAAATTTTGATATGCAGTTTGAGTCAATTTTGTCATGAATAGTTACCAAGTATAAGCGACTCTCCTTCTTTTTTCTTCGGTTCCTCCTTTCTTTCTTCCTTTCTTCCTTCCCTGTTTCTTCTTGATTTTTTAAAGGCGAACGGAGGGAGGCTTACGCTCCCTACGCCGCCCCACTTTGATCCGCCTATGCATTTTGACTGACGAGTAACAATCAATAGGTGAATATTTTTGGGAAGCTATTGCCTTAAAAACGGAAAGCGGAATCATGCTGTCATTTTTGGCAACGGTGTATTTTTCTGCAACTGATAACAGGATCAAATGACACTTTTTGGCAACTGGAAATGGAGATTTGCGAAAGTTCAATGTCGTGTAGTTGGGTAATCGTTCAAATCTTAATAATTCCAATCGCGTCATTCTCTCTAATTACTGATTCTCTGCACCTCTTGTACAGTGTGTGTGTTTTTGGGGCAAGAGAACACTCAGCATGCGGTCCGTGATGCAAATATTTATTTTAAGTTGCTCGGATCTCATTCACGCGCGTGGACAGTTCCAAGCAAGAATGAGAGATCCAAGGTGGATGGTGTTAATGCCTGTACTCCCTAAGCAGATTCTGAACATTGCATGAATGACGCCTTTTCTCATTTCATTTTTTACCTTATCGTTTTGATTTTTTTCTGTTCCAGAAATAGCAAAAGTCCGATCAAATCTATTTCAAGTTAATGGTGTGAAAAAAGAACCTCTAGTGTTACCAGAAGCAGATGGAAATGTAGTCACGTTAACAGAGAAAGTATATGTGCCAGTTAAAGACCATCCAGAAGTAAGTTTCTTCATTTTATTTTTATTCCTAATTTAGGACTTAAAATTTTCACAATCTGACTTTTTTATTGTGATAGATCATCGTTATCCCTTATTAGAATCCATTCTCTAAGCCACATTCATGAATTTTGCTCAAGTCCCGTGAAAATTGCCTTTTATGATGTTACTTTAAAGGCTTCCCTAAGCTTTCACTGGGAAAAAAAAACTCTTGGATCCAGAGCCCAGACTCTTCAACAGTTTGAAAAGAAAAAATACTCTTGATTCCATCGGATTTTTTCTTGAATCATAAGGAAATCCGCTTAATCAAGAGGCTTGGCTCTCGATTCAAGCAAAAATCCGATTGAATCAAAAGTAGTTTTTCTTGTCAAACTTTTTAAGAGTGTGGACTTTGAACCAAGATACTTTTTTGTACTTTTACTTCAGTGTCCCTTTAACACGATGCAAACCGCAGGAGGTCTCCTGTCCGCAAGGAAAGAACCTGTTCAAGGGACGACCGTACTGCCGTGCTTAGGAAGAACGCCGTATGTGCTTTCAGGCGTTTCCATATCTCATTCGGTAAAGGAAAATTTACTGAGAAATTTGTGAATATTCTTCCATAAATTTTTCAGACAATTTAGTTTGCAATTTAGTTTAGAATCTCTGAAAATTTCAAGGATAAATATGCATAACTTCCTTCAAGACTAAACATTTTCTGCGAGGTAATTTGGCATCATTCGAATGCTCTTACGGCGCACAGTGGATCGAGTCAATCAGAGAGGTCGGACATTATATTTTTAACTAAAACTGAAAAATTGTGGCGTTTACTTTGTCACATTTTAAATTTTAAGGGGTGTATCTTGGAGAAAATTTCACGAGGGAACCAATGGAATGGAGCCACTTTTAGATCCTTAAAGTTTTGTACGAACAGAGTTGTAAGTGTTTTTAAGTTTCCCAATTTTGTCCGACCTCTTCCGTTGACTTGATCCACTGTGCGGCGCTTTTCCTTAACAGTCCAGTGCATGGATACGATCCTAAGCCGTCAATATTTCCAACCTTTTTGAATTGTCCTCAGCGACGCAAATCTTGGAGAATCGGTGGTGTGTGTGTGTCGCAGGTTTTTACGTATGGAAATCGCGGTCAAGTACGGGATGCAATAGGTCACTTGACTCGCTTGCTGCCTTTCTGGTCAGAGTTTTGAATCGAGCTGACATTCCGCGGAGCCGCGCGGCCTCTCGCGGTGGATCGGGACATTAATCACGAGACTCAACTCAGGACATTTTTGGCAGCTAATGCATTTTTTCGAGCAATTATTGTTCTCGCATACCGAGAGAACCCGCCTCATTGAATTCCTGGAGAGAAAGTGCAGCGATTTTTAAACGCGATGAATCATCGCAATTCCACAAATTTGAAAAAGTACGGATGCACTGAAAAAGTACGATTTTGAAAGGTCGGTACGGAAGTACAGAAAATGTGTCAACCGCCCGTGAAAAAGAAACAGGTGTGCGAAAATTTTGTGATAAACTTCACAAAATAGCCTGCGGGGCGATTATTGAAATTGTATCGACTGTATGTCGCCGCTTTGTCGGGTCGCGCCATCNGTCGATGGCGCGACACGACAAAGCGGCGACATACAGTCGATATGATTTCAATAATCGCCCCGCTGGGGTGTATGCGATTTCTCACTCTTGTTTTGGTTCATTCTATTCATCTCTTCATCATTCCTTAAAGGAGAATTTGTACACAAAATTTTGCTTGATTCATCAGTGCTTAATGAGCTGAGTTCGCAGTGTTTTTCATAATTTTTTTTGAAATGGGAAATTGTTGAAAAATAGATTTTAAAGTGAGAAACTGCGCCGCCTTGTGACATCATCCGGCGGCCTTTCCCGTTTAAACACTTGTATTTTAGCAGATTAGGTTATTTTGTCGTATTTCCTCCCATAATTTTTCAATTTAGAAACCAAGGATATCTTCATGCTCAGTTCTCTCAGTAATTTCATTGTCAACTCGTAATTCACAACATTTCGGAGATTTGCAAATCCTTTATTCTATTTTCCAAACCAAGACCTCTCAGAATTCCCTTCAAGATGCTCAAAGCTAAAGCAAAGCTCTTTTTTTTCAACGCGTACCATAGATCTTATTATGTTTTCATTTGTTGTACCTCCGCCCCAAATAAATTCGTTTTTTATTAGAGTAAAATACGGATGCTTTAATTTTGTTGTCATATCGGATCGAATATTTCTCCTTTTCGCCGGAATTAGAAGGACAGATTTCGGAGAGTCGAAGCAGTTTGGCAATCGTGTACGCACGTACGCGTGCGTGAGTACCCGATCACGAGTACGCGTTTTCACATGAAGAGATTGTACCTCACCGCGTGCCGCGTAACGGATAACCGAAAGGCTCTTTATGTTCAATGATCAAAAATTCTGGGAGCATACTGCCGTGCTAAGTAAAAACGCCGTATGAGCCTTCAGGCATTGCCAAATTTCTCCTGGCAAATCACTAATTTTCAGGAAAATTTTTGAATATTTGTCTACCAATTTCTTTGATAATTTTACCTGTAATTTGATCTAAGACTTCTGAAACTTTTGAGGAAGAATATTCAAAATTTTCCTCGAAAATAAACATTTTATCGAAGGAAATTTGGCAACTCTCGCGTGTTCATACGGCGTTCTTCCTTAGCACGGCAGCATAGCCCGCCACAACCCCCTCTCCCCCCACCTTCCTAACTGTTTTAATTTCTTATTTTGGGCACACTGCTCCGTGAACTGCCTTGTCTTACGCTTAAGCGCCTGATCGTAAGAGAAAATTACGAATTAGTTTTCTGCTGTATACTCTTCCGTGCCACAAGGGAAAACGACGTATTTGCTTTCAAATTTTGCCCAATTCCCTCCTGAGCAATATTTATTTTTAATGAAAGTAATGAATATTTTTCTTCGAAATTTTCAGACACCTCAGACCAAATTGCGAACGAAATTCTGTGAAAAATCAAAAGAAAAATATTAACACATTTTCCTAAAAATCCGTGTTTTGTCGAAGGAAATTTGGCTACGTCTGGAAGGTCAAACGGCGTTCTTTAGCATGGCAGTATTGCCGGTCTCATTTCGCTTATTGTTCCTCTCAGACCCAGTTCTATCATCTCTCTTTTGTGGCTCCAATCTCCGGACACAATTTTAGCGAGCATTCTATAGCGCCTGTCCCACGTACAGACTTACAGACCGAGGCTCTCAAATTTGCACTAATTCTTGAATTTCTTAACCATTTCTGTGCAAAATTCCTGGAAAATCTCAAGATCTGATCTATGACGTGTCCCAAATACATCGGTTACCGTCAAAAATCGCTGGCCCGACGTTTATAAAACCTGCGTTCGAGCCTGGCGGTTTTCAGAAAAAGCATCTGAAGTGTTTGGTACGTGGGCACCGGGGAGTTCTTAAGGGGAGGTATCAGAATCATACTTCGATCATAGGCGGATCTAGACACCTCGAATGGGGAGTGGAACGGGGTTCCGGGGGGCTCCTCCTGAAAATTTTTGAATTTTGAAGCATCCGCCATTATGCAGTTTGAGCCGTAATGTCGTTCTTCTTTCCTCTTTTCCTTCCCTCTTTCTTCCCTCTCTTTGACTTCTCGAATTTCAGTGTGATCACTGGAATCCTCCGTAAAAATAGACACGGGGGAAAAATCGAAATCGAAGAGAAGCACGAAGGAATAAAAATCCGAAGGGAAAAGGGCGGCGCGCATGAGAATCTGACATGAATCATAGGTCATCACCCGAGGGCCGAAATCCTGCGAGCGGGAGAGAGGGGAAGATTTCACTGGAATCCCGCTTTTCGAAGCAATTATTTTCCCACCACTCTGAGCTCACTCGTTACGACGCGACGACTCGCCCACATTACCATAAGGCAAGGCAGGCACAAGGCAAGGCACAAGTACAATCGCGGGAACGCAGTGTCTGGGATCCAATCTGGGCTCACGGTTCACAGGTCAACCTGGCTCAAAAAACACCGAAACTGGCCACACAATGAGATGCGACCAGCGGCATGGACGACGCCAGTTTTATGATCAGGGACTTATTGTCATATCGGTAGAGTTCAAGTCTTGTGTAAAAAATACCCGACGCACTACGCTGCCGTGCTAGGGAAAAACGCCGTATGAGCCATCAGGCGTTGTCAAATTTCCTTCAACAAATCACGAATTTTTAGGAATATTTAAGAATATTTTTCTTCGGGTTTTTTAGAGGATTTTGTTCGCAACTTAACCTGAAATGTCTGAGAATTTCAAGGGAAAATATGCATAAATTTCCTCAAAAATGCATGTTTTATATGGGGGGATTTGGCAACTCTGATCGAATGTTCGTACGGCGTTCTTCCTTAGCACGGCAGTATTTGTAGAGTTCAGATCTTGTGTAAAAAGTACCCGACGCACTACGAGGCGATGTGGTGCTTGGAAATGGGTCTGTTGCAAACTTCAGCTATAGAGCAAATGGAAGAGTTGATTCTCATACAAAATGGCTCAAAAATCACTATGAGCGCATTGGGGAAGTCTGAAATACACTCCCAACATAATCTGCGTAAGAAAAATAAATTTTTCCAGGCCTCCCGAGAGGCCTCCCCAGTAAAGTACGAGTATGTTACTATATCCCAACTTGAATTGCGGTTCCACCACGATTAATTTGAAATGTCCGTATCATCCAACAAATTGGGGTAGGACCACAATTTTAAGGGACAACCCCTAACACTTTATGTCCGTGCAACAGGATTATTCCCAAGAAATTTCTTGTAGTTAATTCAGAATTTTTCAATCGATCGATCGACTATCGAATTATTCTCGAAAGTGCCGGAGCTTCACTTTTAACACGGTCCAAATTAACAAGGGGAGTCTACGAAGTGACATCCTGGGATTGGGTTCATTTTGCTTGTACATGAAGAAGAGACAAATCTAAGGTTGACGTATTTTTTTTTAGCCGCCAACTCCCAACCCTTCTCGAGATATCGATTTTTAAAGTTACGATTTTTGCACGTTTCCGCG